ATGGTTATGGTCCATTAATGGTTAATGGAGCGCTGCCCTGCTCCTTGTTGTCCAAATTGTATTGTCCCTCTTACAGTTGTGCATATCCTTGTTGAATGTCCTGACTTCCAGGATGAGCGTGTGCCTTGTTTTCCAACCATCCCTCGCTGTCGCTTGTCCCTCGATAGAATTCTTGGTGAATCAGATACTTTTGATATCGTTTGCCTTATGCGTTTCTGTTCTCGTATTGGCATCCTTGGTGATATTTAGCACCCTCTGATTATTCCACACATTTGATGGTGCCATATAGCCTTCCCGGTTTGGTGCCTTCTTTTGATAATTTCTTACTTACTTTTTGGTGCTCAGTACCACTGGTTTTATTATGTGCTCAGAACCACTGGTTTTATTTGGTGCTCAGAATTTTTTTTTTATTTGGTGCTCAGTACCACTGTTTTATTATGTGCTTGATTTTATTTGGTGGTCAGTACCACTGGTTTCACTCAGACCCATTTTTTATTTGGTGGTCAGTACCACTGATTTTATTTGGTGCTCAGAATCATTTCTTTATTTGGTGCTCAGAACCACTGGTTTTATTTGGTGCTCAGAGCCATTTGTTTTATTTGTTGCTCAGTACCACCTGGTATTATTTGGTGCTCAGCACCATTGGTTTTATTTAGTGTTCAGTACTTTTGGTTTGATGTTGTGCTCAGTACTGTGTATCAGTTTTATTTAGGGCTCAATACTGTATATCAGTTTTATTTAGGGCTCAATACTGTGTATCAGGGTTTTATTTAGTGCTCAGTACTGTGTATCAGTTTTATTTAGGGCTCAATACTGTGTATCGGTTTTATTTTTATTTTTTTTTTGAGATATATACAAGAGTTGTTACATTCTTTTACAGCCACTAGTACGCGTAGCGTTTCGGGCAGGTCCCTGGAATACGATCCCCTGCCGTGAAGAATCGTTTTTTCATCCAAGTACACATTTTACTGTTGCGTTAAACAGAGGCTACAGTTAAGGAATTGCGCCCAGTAAATCCTCCCCGGCCAGGATACGAACCCATGACATAGCGCTCGCGGAACGCCAGGCGAGTGTCTTACCACTACACCACGGAGACTGTTTGAAACAGTCTGATTTAGACTGATTTAGTGCTCAATACTGTGTATCAGTTTTATTTAGTGCTCAGTACTGTGTATCAGGGTCTTGTTTAGTGCTCAGTACTGTGTATCAGGGTTTTATCTAGTGTTCAGTACTGTGTATCAGATTTATTTAATGCTCAGTACTCTGTACAGTATCAGGGTTTTATCTAGTGCTCAGTACTGTGTATTAGATTTATTTTGTGCTCAGTACTGTGTATCAAGGTTTTATCTAGTGCTCATTACTGCATATCAGGGGTTTTATTTAGTGCTCAGTACTATGTATCAGGGGTTTTATTTAGTGCTCAATAGTGTGTATCAGTGTTTTATTTAGTGCTCAATGCCATTGGTTTTATTTGGTGCTCAGTATCACTGGTTTTATTTGGTGTTCAGTACCACTGGATTTATTTAGTGCTCAGTATTGTCTACTTTTATGAAAATCGTTGTGTCATCAACAAGGATGATACAGTACTATAGTTTGCATCCTTCCTTATCTATGTCTGAAATGAGGATGAGAAAATGTACCAGATCAAGCACAATAACGTGGCATACTGAGCTTTTCATAATGAATTATTATTATTATTAACATCTTTATTGACAATTACAATTTTGCCTAATCCAAGGATTTCAATTAAGTCTTATTAAAGTGAGGATAATGAAGGTATTCACTGTCATGCAGAACAGAGGGTCATACACACGACAATATGTCTAAACTAGCACATATATATATCATGGTTACAATCAATGTTTTAATGTATGAATATGTAAAAACAACTTTCTATTGTGCACTGCCACACAAGGGCAGGGATGGGTTTATAAGTGATGCAGCTTAGAAGTAATATAAATAAAATTGTTCTTCATTCTTTAAAATGGACAAGTAAATTAAGTTTAAGTTAAAAACGAAGCTATACCTAATAAATTCCCTGTGACCTACCTTACCCCTCTATTGTCAACCCATGTATGTTTTTTTTTTTGTTTTTGTTTTTCAAATCAACGCTGTTTTAATGTAATTTTCTGTAATAATTTGTAATTGTATTTGTGCTGTTTTTTCAACAATGTTCCCCCCTCTTTTACCTCTATTTTTATTTGTACTCAATGCATTTTTTTCTTTTTACCCATTAGTTTTAAGCTTTAGTCAGTAGTGTTTTTTCCTGCCCGAAACGCTTTGCGTAATAGTGGCTTTAGGCATTGTATGTACTAGCTCTTATCTATAAAGCCAACAAACTTTGTAAAATCTCTTTATGTATGTACCTTTGCCTAAATAAAAATTATTATTATTATTATTATAAATTTTGGATAAATTGTTAGGATGTTGTCCAGTACACCAGGATCAATGAAATAGTTACACAGTTGGTGGTACAATAGGCCAGGAGGTCATAAATCTTTTTCGGTTTCACATTCAACAATATAGTGTTCTAGTGAATGCATTAAAGGTTTATCACAAAGTTTACAATCTGAATATTCTGGTAGTGGCTCAGCCTCACTAACCTGCCAGATGTGTCTATAGCCAAGGCGAATTCGCGCAATGACTATATGATATTGCCTGGTCCGGTTACTGTGCTGACCATACAGATACTTTTTATTACAAAAGTTGTCATAGCTTTTAATACTGCAGCTTTCAGATCTTTGAGTTTTATTAGTTCTTCTAATCTGAATTAATCTCTTTAATTTGTATATTTCTAATAATTGCATTAGATAGTCCAAAGTCATAATCAGTGTTTTCTTTCCTGCAAACTTCATTGGCCAATCAATCTACAAAGTCATGTTTTCCAACTCCAACATGGGATGAAATCCACACAAATTTTGTACAGTAGTTATTATCATTGGCAAAAATTACATTCCATTTAATATTACAAGCTACTTCAGACATGCATTGTGATGGGTTATTTAAGGACTGCAAAGCACTTTTAGAGTCACAGAATATCACTCCACCACCATTGAGCTTAAGGTACTCAGTGACTAGATAAATACCCAATAGCTCAGTCTGTGTCGTGCTTGCCCAGTTGTTCAATCTCTGTGTACTAGACATGATCATTTCATTCCCTTTATATACTGCACATGCACAACCTTATCTACCAGTGCCTAACTGCAAGGAGCCATCAGTAAAGGCATAGGATTCAGTTGGTTTGAGATTTTGAAGATGACTGTCAATAGCTTCTAATGTTATACATCTCATAGTTTCAGTGTTATACATTTGTTTTACACTGATGGGGGTATAATGCAAAGAGACCTGCACATTTTTCTAAGGGGGAATATAGTAAACAGTTTTATCAGGATTAAGAGACACATTCAGCTTCAGAAGATTATAGGCACAACAACTGAGCCACACAAAGACAAACCCTTCAGCACGGGTGGGACACGAACAAGGGGACACAGGTGAAAACTTAGTACCCAGATGAGCCACAGAGACGTTAGAAAGAATTTTTTCAGTGTCAGAGTAGTTAATAAATGGAATGCATTAGGCAGTGATGTGGTGGAGGCTGACTCCATACACAGTTTCAAATGTAGATTTGATAGAGCCCAAAAGGCTCAGGAATCTGTACACCAGTTTGACAGTTGAGAGGCGGGACCAAAGAGCCAAAGCTCAACCCCCGCAAGCACAATTAGGTGAGTACACTGTAAGGAGCTTTTTGCGGCGGATTGAGGGAACAGTCAAATTTTTTTAGAATGTTGTGTTGATTTAGAGGCGACGACGATCGTGGGATCGGATGCGCCCATTTTTTAGAATGATGAATGGTCCAGGTTTTACTTTGTTGACTATTACACTCTGGGCTCTGTTCGTTTTGAAATTAAAGATCCATTTCCCTACTTTGCCAGTAATTCCTTTTGTGTGCATTTTCTGTGCATAACACCATAATTACATTTGTCAAAAGCTTTTTCAAAATTTATGTATATTACATCAGTGTGGTTTGCTTGTCTTCCATGGCATCTAAGGCCATGTCATAGTAGTCTAGCAATTGAGTATCAGAGTGCCCCTCTCCTGAACCCATGTTGCCCAGGGCTATGTAGACACTGTGATTCCATGTGTTTTGTATAACAGTTATTGAATAGTTGTTACATAAAAAGCATTTTTAATAAAGCAACTAGTACACAAAGCATTCTTGATGCATATTTGACTTCTCAAATGCTGCACATTCTCGATCACAAATTAATTTCACTTATACAGAACATGAGTTTAGTTCATTTATTATGCACCCCATACCCATCTTGTGGGCAGTAGTGGAAAGGGTTACAGAGGCACATGATGGGCTCAGGGACTGAACCTCACAATTCATTTAGCTAAACAAGTTACAGTCTTGATGAGCTAGTTTCAAAATTCAGTGCACATCGTCTCATCAACAATGGGCTTGATTGAGATCGACCACAAGCGACTCCACTACTAGTCATCTCTGCCGTCTCTGTTGTCTTCCATGCTGCTGCCTGAAACGCTATGCTTGCCCGAAATGCTATGCATACTAGTGGCATTAGGTATTGTTTGTACTAGCTCTATCTATAAATCCAACATTATGTTTGTAACTAATCCTCTATGTATGTACTTGTACCTGAATAAACATTTGATTTGAATTGATTTGAAGCAACTGACATTTGTGGAGAGCTAGTGTCACAATTGATATGTTTGTCCTGCACACTGCCCCTCATCCAGTGGGCAGTGGTGGATAGGTTAAAATTATTCAGTTACTATCTAAAGTTAGCAAACTAGGGATATTTGGCTAAGATTTCTGGTAGCAGATCATTTTGAATGAAATATTCACACATCTCTTGAACATGTGTTATAAAATTGTCTCGAATACACGTATCTTTTCGCACTCCATTAAACCAAAATCTGTGTAATACATAGGAAACATGTCATGGTGATGATAATGATGAAAACATGTTTTCCTACAGCTGTTTGATGAGCTGCGGAGCAAATCTCCAGAGGTACTGCAGAAGTTGGCACCAATTCAGGGTGACATCATGCTGCCGGGTCTGGGAATCTCTCCTGACGACTCCACTATCCTCATCTCAGCCGTCTCTGTTGTCTTCCATGCTGCTGCCACCGTCAAGTTCGATGAAGCACTCAAACTCTCACTCCAGATGAATGTTTTGGGCACCAAGCGCCTCATTGAACTCTGTCACAAGATGACTAAGTTGGTGGTAAGTGTTGGGGGTGGGTGGGGTAAGATGGGTGGCCAGCAGGCAAGGTGTGGTGGCTGGCCAACACACAGGGTGTGGTAGGTAGCCAGCAAATAGGGTGTGGTGAGTGGCCAGCAGATGGGGTGTGGTGGGTGGGTGACCAGGAGGCAGTGTATGGTGGGTGGTCAACACACAGGGTGTGGTGGGTGGTCAGCAGGTGGGGTGTGGTGGGTGGCCAGCAGGTGGGGTATGGTGGGTGGCCAGCAGGTGGGGTGTGGTGGGTGGCCAGCAGGTGGGGTGTGGTGGGTGGCCAGCAGGTGGGGTGTGGTGGGTGGCCAGCAGGTGGGGTGTGGTGGGTGACCAGGAGGCAATGTATGGTGGGTGGCCAACACACAGGGTGTGGTAGGTGCCCAGCAGACAGGGTGTGGTGGGTGGAGAGTAGGTGGGGTGTGGTGGGTGACCAGGAGGCAATGTATGGTAGGTGGCCAACACACAGGGTGTGGTAGGTGCCCAGCAGACAGGGTGTGGTGAGTGGCCAGCAGGCAGAGTGTGGTGGGTGACCAGGAGGCAATGTATGGTGGGTGGCCAACACACAGGGTGTGGTAGGTGCCCAGCAGACAGGGTGTGGTGAGTGGCCAGCAGGCAGAGTGTGGTGGGTACAAGCAGGCAGTGTGAAATTTTCCCATGTAATGACTATATTTGCTCCTTTTTTAATAATGTATTCAAAATACAGTACAGTCATATATTTAAATTTTCCCAGTGTCCATGTATTACATTACAGCATTTTTGTACCTGAAACAGTAATGTGTTTATCCCTCCTTCCCAGGCATTGATCTGTGTATACCAAAGGCTGTAATATGTATCCCTCCTCCCAAGGCATTGATCTGTATCAGAGGCTGTAATGTGTGTATCCCTTTCTCCAGGCATTGATGCTTGTATATCCGAGGCTGCAATGTGTGTATCTCTCCTCTCCAGGCATTGATCCATATATATCTGAGGCAGTAACATATGTATCCCTCCTCACCAGGCATTGATCTATGTGTTCCAGAGGCAGTAACATGTGTATCTGTTCTCCCCAGGCAGTGAACCATGTACACCTGAGGCAGTAATGTAGATATCTCTTCTCTTCAGACAGTGATCCTTGAATACTTGAGGCAGTAACGCAGTTATCTCTCTCTTCCCCAGGCATTGATCCATGTATACCCGAAGCAATAATGCAGGTATCCCATCTCAGGCATTGGTATGTGCCTACCCAAGGCAGTAATGTGTGTATCTTTCCTCCCCAGGCAGTGGTTCATGTTTCCACAGCCTATTGCAACTGTGACCGAGGTGAAGTGAAGGAGATGGTCTACCCTCCGCCCATCGATCCGTATAAACTCATTCAACTCATCGACTGGATGGATGATGAAACCTTCAATCATCTTACACCCAAGTAGGTGTGGTTGTGTTGAGTCTGCACAAGTTGATGACATATATCTTATCTGTTAAGATATTTGTCTCTTCCTATAGTGTGCCCAGTGACTTGAGCTGACCATGCTTCTTCGCAAGGTCGGCAATTGATTCCTGAGGGTTCAAGTGGTTAGGCACCAATTCTTTGCCCAGTCCTCATATTCTTTCCAAGCGCTACATAGTCATACTGGCTCAGCATTTTCTTCTAATAACTGCCTTACCTCACTACATAGTCTTCCTGCCTTGGTGCCTTCTTTAACTAATTACTTACTTACCTTACCTCCCCAATTCTCAAAGTGTGGTTAATGTGATTACCTGCTTGATTACCTTCACATTGTTTACAACATAGAGCATAAGTTTGTTGTGCCTATTCCATGTATCATATTTGTTCCTAAAATGTTATACTGTATATTATTAGCTCACCCTACCTCATTCTGCAGGGCTTTCCAGCTGTCCACAATCTAATTTAATAAGAAATGCAGTGGAGTAGCTAACTACAATACTGTTGTGTATGAATGAAGCTGAAGAAAATACACAATACTTTATTCATTCAAAAAGGCTGAGGGAGTGCCAGTCTGTTTGAGAACTGAATAATTTTTCCCGTAAGGAATAATGCAAATTGGATTACTCTGTACCCAAAACATGTGCTTATAAAAGCACTTTTAATTGGATTTAAATCTAAGTTTAATTGGGTATCAGAGGTCACTTCAAAGCCCCTTTGGAATAGTACTTCAGTGTACAGTTTCTTAAAGTTCATATAGTTACGTTTGGTATTCCAATTAGCATTGTGCACTAATTTCCATTGTCAGGGACAGGAAGCTTTTACTAGGCTTGCATTGAAGTCCCTTCCCCCCTTCCCCTACCCAGGTCAACTATTGACCTTCCCCAGATGCAACCCACAACAATTGCTGAACCTCCAGATACCTATTTTCTACTAAGTGAATAGAGGCATCAGCTAAAACAAAACATGTCAAACCATAGTGGTCTTGCCTGAGGATTGAACCCAGTATTCCTGATTGTGAGTCGAGAACGTAGAATGATAATAGGGGATAACGTTAATAATTGGATACACCATTGAAAATCTATCCCAATGATGAGAAATTTCCTCTTACTGTTCTTTTCATTAGTCTTTCACTAAAGAAGCCTTTTGTTCACCTTAAGAGCCTGCTTGATATAGTGTATAATAATTCATTGTGTCAGGGGACAGGCAGCCAGTACTGTGTATACACACACACAGTACTTGTTAGGCTTATATCAAGGTCGTCCTCCAGGGTCAAATTACAGACCCTTCCCAGGATGCAACCACTCAAGAAGCTGACTAACTCATGGGGTGCCTATTTACTGCAAGGTGAACAGGGGCATGAGGTAATAGGAAACGTGTCCAACCATTTCTGTCCCGAATGGGATTCGAACTCAGAATTCTCGATTGCGAGTTGAGAATGAACCAGATTGTACTACTGGAACCCTATCTACCCGTCTACTACCTACATCGATATTTGTGTAATTATCTAATTGTAGTAAAAGATTAAGTATTATGCTCATGGTAACCCCTGAGCATGGTATATTTGATCTTATTTGATTTTTAAACTGCTCTATTTTTCATATTTATGTACGTCTACTAAAGCCCATTCCGCTTTTCAGTTACAGTATTGTACTCTGTTTCCAAAGGAGTCGCTCTGCATGTTGTACACCTTTGTTTCCTGTAGTCTTCCTTTGTCTTATCTCTTGATTCTGTTCAGTGCTTACTTTAGTATTCTTTCTAGTATAGCTGGGGTGATCTATGTCCTCAGCTCACAGTCGATGCACCGGAGTTCAGTCCCAAAGGAGGACAGAAATGGTTGGGCACTTTTTACTTTCAGCTGATGTGTCTATTCATGTAGCAGTTAAATATGCACCCGGGATTTAGACAACTGTTGTGGGTTGCATCCTGGGGAAGGTCAGTTATTGGCCTGGTTGGGGTGGGGATGCCTCATAACCCCAGGTACAGACTTCCTGTTCCTGACAACAGGAATTATTAAGTATTCCTGGAATTATTAAGAATTCTGGTGTTTCCCCCAGAAAAGGCTTTACTGTGTACATTAAAAATAAATTAATAATAATTAGTCATTCGTTGTCATTTAGTTATGCATTATACAGTCTAGGATCACATGAAAACCAACACTTCCACACTCCAGCAGCAGCCATCCACAGCAGCACTCCACCACTTCATAAGACCTTGTGTATAGTACACCTTTGTGAATTGCCATGCAGTTGACTCACAACTGATGGGACTTAGGTTCGATTCCCAGACAGGGCAAAACAATTGGGCATGTTTCCTTAGACCAATACCCCTGTTTACCCGGCAGTAAATAGGTACAGTACCTGGGAGTTTAGAGATTGTTGTAGGTTGTATCCTGGGAAAGGTCAGTCCTTGGCTAGGGAGACCTCAACATGTCTTAACAGGCTTCCTTTTCCCTACAATGGAAAACCATTCATTTCTTCTTTATACACCACATCCATGCAAACTTGGCCCTTACCATTTTCCATATAGTGTCCTTGCCCTGTGCCTCACTTACTTACTTACACCATGTTTGCTCACCCTCTTTCAAGCCTTCCTCACCTCCAACCCTCAGTCACCCAAGTATCTTTCTTTGCCAGTCTACTGTTACAGTATTCATTTATTTAACATGAGCAAACTATCATTTGTTTAATTATACAACCTACATTAATACAGTGCCTTAAACAGTAAGTATACAGTGTAATTTAGTACAGTATAATATACATATTCATTTTTAAAATATACAGGGGTACCTCGGTTTAAGAGTTTAATCCGTTCCTAGAGACAGCTCGTAGCCCGAAAACTTGTAAACCGTAGCTCCGTTCCTGACTACCCAAAAACCTCACTTCAAACTAAATTTTATACCTAATTCATCAAAATCTACACTACAAAAGTATGTTCAAGTTATTACTTACCCTTGCTGATGACTGCTGTTGGCGTATGGAAGATGGTGAGGAGGGGGGAGGAGGAGAGGTGTTACTGTTTGGAAGGGGAGTCCCCTTCCATTATAACATCAGGCAGTGAAGACTTCTCTGGGGTGCACTCTCTGGCACGTTTTGCCTGCATACCACTAGGCCCTGTTGTGGATCACTGATTGATTTTCTCACAACGAAACGATCCATTGAAGATTGTTTTTCCCTTCTTTGCAACACTTGTCTGTAGTAAGACATCACATTGTCATTTAAAAGGTCAATGCAACGGCCTGCTACAGCTTTATCTGGGTGAGTTTTTTCAACAAAACTTTGCAGTTCTTCCCATACTTCACACATTTTCTTAATGAGGAAGGGACATTCTCTACTGCCTCTACACACAACTATTTTCTTAGGTTGAACCTTACCACTGGCTTTCTTGGGACCCATGGCGAAATATATAATAACAACTTTTATGCTCAAATGGCCAAAAATCTGACAAAAAACTGTAAATCCTGGTAAAGACTTTAGGCGGGATAGTCACTGGATGCGAGGCACTGGTAAACTGAGGGGCGATCGTCTTGCCACCACGTGCTAGGTCGGCCCGTACTCATATCAACACCCTCGTATTCCGAGGCAATGCTCGTATCCCGATGTAAATTTTCTGAGCAAATCCTGCTCGTAACCCAAAAAGCACGTAACCAGGAACGGTCGTAATCCGAGGTACCACTGTACATTATTATTAATAATAATACATACTGTATTATTATTATTATTATTTTTTTTTATTATTATAAAATATATCGCTTCTCAGGCTTCAGGTAACTTTATGGGACATTTTAAACTAGTATGTTATGCTATATAGAAAACTTGTGTTACTTCTATCCCCATCCTGGTACAGTAACCTTTTTCCCCAGTACGTGCAGTATGGTGTATGGTTATGTATCTCTCAGATCTTTGCCTCTCCATATTATGCCACTGCCACAATCTTAAATCCAACTTACCTTTTTCCTTTTAAATATACATAAATCATATTACTGTACTTAGAATTGTTAAATATAGAAATACTGTACTGTACAGCATGTTTTCAACAGTTTGCTAATTTTCATATTAACCTGTAATAAGTCTTCTTTGACAGATTGATTGGGTCGCGTCCAAACACCTACACATACACAAAGGCATTAGCTGAACACGTGTTGGTTCAGGAAGCCGGATCGTTGCCTTTGGCCATTGTTCGGCCATCTATAGGTAAGACCTATATTTTGGTTTCCCATGGTTCTTAAGCTAATTTAATCAACATCCTTGTTAAACAAATTGTCATCCACACTTCTGTGGAAATTCCATTCACCTGGGCTGTGTGGATCTCGAAACGTGGACCCTACGAGTGTGAGGCTGACGCTCTATCGACTGGGCTATCTTGAGGTTATCTTGAGATGATTTTGGGGCTTTTTTTAGTGTCTCTGCGGCCCAGTCCTCGACCAGGCCTCCACCCCCAGGAAGCAGCCCGTGACAGCTGACTAACACCCAGGTACCTATTTTACTGCTAGGTAACAGGGGCATAGGGTGAAAGAAACTCCGCCCATTGTTTCTTGCCGGTGCCCATGATCGAACACGGGACCACAGGATCACAAGTCCAGTGTGCTGTCCGCTCGGCCGACTGGCTCCGGGCTATGAGCAGTCTTTAAAAGGAAAGTTTCCAGCAGCAGCATCCTGCTGCCAAACTGGAATTTTCAACTTTCCCTGACTACACCTACTGAATCCCTGAGGAATTACTGATCCACATCAAATAAATTGTTATCCACAACCAGTCTATGAGCAACTATAAATTGCTTATAGCCCAGTCGATAGTGTCATCTTCACATGCATGGGGTCCACAGTTTGAGACCCATACAGCCCAGGTTAATGGAATCCTTGTTATAGTTGATATATTGAATGGCAACATGCCAATTTCATTTATAAAGCATGTGAAATTTCCCTTTTAAACCATTTCTATAATAATTATTATAGTGTGAAGTTGCCATTGTGACCAGTTGACACCTTTCAGTGGGAACACTGACGGTCATAGTTAAGTTTATTACCACAAATGCAGAAAAGCATTTGGTTAACTGAAATATACCAACCTCATAGTGCAGGATCTACATAAACATAGAACTGATGAAAGTGTTTGTACTATGCTTGCAAGAGGTTTGAACAAAGGAATAAGCAATTTCCCTAGCCACTAATGTCCTTAGCTACTTTTTTCCCCACCTACTGGCATCCACAGCTACTGGTGTCCCAAGCTGGTTGTATCTAGAGAAAATGGTGCTACTTTCTACTTGATGTCCCAACAACTGGTACCATCAGCTGCCAATACCTTAAATCACATTGCCCCTAAATTGTCATTATCTCTAGTTATCTTACTGAGATTGGCATGATGATAACAGTACCTTGTGCCATCACTTCACAAAACATGTGAAGGAAGCATCATTGAACTAGGGCTGGTTGCAGTGCCATACCTTGAGCATGTCCGTGTGTGCAGTTAATGGCAGTCACTTACCAGCTGGCTTGAGAATATTGAGCCATATTATTACCACCAAGGATGCCTAGGGTTGTCTTGATCCAGGACACCATCTACTATATTGTAGTTTACCTGAGGGGCCACAATATCTCTAGTGGCCTCAACAGGGGTAAGAATCCAGCACCTTGTTGATGGTCCCCCCCCCCCATTGTTCTTGAGGATTTTCCCCTCATCAGTTATACTTTTACAATACAGTACTGTATGTTTGATTTGCATGTGCCTTAACCTTTCAGAATTTATTTAATGAACATATAATACTGTACAATATTTTCAGAAGAACTGTTCAATTTGTAAATTCAAGGAATTAAGATTAAATTAAGTCCAAAATATGCTTGAAAATTTTGTTCTCAAGGATAGTTACATGGATGCTAAATAACTGCACTTGAAGACATTTAATATCTGGGGAAATTTGACTTGTGACCATTCCCACATGAAAGTTTAATACCAAGAGCCAGTAGAACTAGTAGAGATAGTGTGGTCTAATATAATATTAAATAGGGATTTTACTTGAGGGTGGCCCTCAAGTAGAATATCTTTCTAGTGGCCTTGACAAATACAGGAAGTCAACAGCTTGTCAGAGGCACCCCATTGTTCTTGTATACCTATTTACTGTTTAACTTTACAACGGCATATTAAAGGCACTTTTATGTTTGTGACAGTTGCTGCAGCCTGGCGGGAACCTCTACCAGGATGGGTCGACAACCTCAATGGACCTACAGGATTGATTGTAGGAGCTGGGAAGGGTATGCTACGTACCCTTCACTGCCGAGGAGAGCTGGTGGCCGACCTCATTCCTGTTGATATACCAATCAACCTCCTCATTGTTACAGCCTGGCACACAGCCACTCACAGGTATAATATTCAAAGTTACCATTCACAGGTAGTGCATATATATGTCATAATCTTTTCACTGCGACACATCTCTTATGGCCCTACTCCCGTAATGGGTCAGAATGGGGCTACAAAATTGATATTTTATATTGGTTCATATTACATTTCTAGTAAGAAAACAACCGGCTCTTTCCAGCAATGGCATTGAAAAATTAATTCTGTATTGTAGTAAAAACACCATTAAAAAATTAAATGTTTCTGTGGGGAGCCCTGTCGGCTTCCTGAAGCTATTCGAAATTTGGTGCTACATTAGTTTGGGGTCATCAGTCACAGGACTCATTATGCCTACTGGGGACCTCGAGCCAACAGCTAGTCCCCTCTCATAGAGGTGCAGGGAGCAGTGACCTTATGAGCACTTTACATTTAAAGTACAGTATGTCATTATCATGCCATCGACCGGGGAAGGACCCAGAATGGTAGGCGAATGATAACAGACCACTGTCTAGTTAACCTGTGCAATCTACATCCTAAAAGATCAAAATAATTTTCCTAGAAAGAAATTCCTTTCCCCCCCAACAAGCAACACTTCATGCTTAACGAGTGGCTCTATTAACGAGTTTTTACAGTAACGAGCAAGCCACTCGCAGCAAATTTGTCTCTATTGACAAGCTCACCTCTATTAACGAGCAAAACCACATGGCGTTTCCTAGCATCTCGCGGGTTCTCGCAAATTCTCGGACGCCTCCGACGCCAGTGTTGTTCTTGTATCGCACACGACAAGCATCCCTCTGGATTTATTTGAGCTTTTCTTTGGGTTTTTAGTGGTTTTGCGACTACAATTTGTAACACATGATGTCTCCAAAGAAGCTGCTTGCTAAAGATAGTGTTGTCAAGAGGAAGAAACACACAATTACTGTGGATTTGAAGAAGGAAATTATAGCAAAACATGAGTGTGGTGTCTGTGTGACTGATCTCACAAGGGAGTATGGCAGGTCTCATCAACAATTTACACCATTAGTAAGGGAATGAGAAGGTAAGGGAGGATGCTGCCTCTTCCACTGAATTCAGGGAAGTGTTTGGAATGTTTGAAAAGGTGAACGCATTCTTGGAAAAGCTGCCCTGATAAAGCAGTGACAACCCGGTGTGTGAAAATGGTTAATTAATTTATCACTTTGTGATAACACTTTATGAAAGTGTTATCACTTTCGCAGGTATATGTCGCTTGAACGTGACACACTTTTTTATCTTGAATGCACCCAAACACCGCGCTCAAGCGTCATTTGAGCAAATATTTCTATAAAATCCAATTCTTATCCGATCGTCTTGGGGATTGTATACATGTTTGCCATGAAATTTCTGTTTTCTTTAATAACCACATTGCCTATTTGAGAAAGCGGCATTGTATTGTAGCTTCGTGGTAAGACTATTATATTGTTGACACGAGTGTAATCGACGTAGTTTTTTATTTGGTGCTGGTCTAACGCATCCTTGTGTGACATTTGAAATGAAATTTGGGTGAAATTCCCAAGAAGAGAGAGTCCGCCTGACTCAGAGGTGGATTCTCCTTCCACACCATAACCCCTCTCCTCCTTCCCACCTCCCCATCGTCTCCCTCCAGCCAGCAACTACTCTTCATAAGGTAAAGTAAATATTAAAGCACTACAACAAAATATTTATATTTACATGTGCAGTATTATATTTACATAAAAAAAAGTCATACAAGTATGGATGTTTTTGGGAGTGGAACGGATTAAATTTATTTCCTTTATTTTAAATGGGGAAATTTGTTTCTTAAGACGAGTTTTCCAGGTAACGAGCTCGGTGCCAGAACGGATTAAACTCGTTAATAGAGGTTCCACTGTATATATATATATATATATATATATATATATATATATATATATATATATATTATATATTTTGGTAGCAGTCTTTCCTGTAGACATATATTATTAAATATGACCGAAAAAGTAAGATTAATAATTCTAACACGAATTTTCTCAATCTTTCGTACATTACGCTTCACTGTTGGAGGTAAATCAAAAATCACTTCTCCAAAATTCATTTTTATTTCTAGTCTGACGCGACACGGGCGCGTTTCGTAAAACTTATTACATTTTCAAAGACTTCACAAATACACAACTGATTAGAACTTACGTATCTCTGATTTTATATCTACATTTGAGTGAGGTGGGAGGGGTGATGTGGCATTAACACAAGACAGAACAAGAGGGGATATTAATAGGGTATTAAAAGTATCAACACAAGACAGAACAGAAACAATGGGTATTGAATAGAAGTGTTTGTAGAAAGCCTATTGGTCCATATTTCTTGATGCTTCTATATTGGAGCGGAGTCTTGAGGTGGGTAGAATATAGTTGTGCAATAATTGGCTGTTGATTGCTGGTGTTGACTTCTTGATGTGTAGTGCCTCGCAAACGTCAAGCCGCCTGCTATCGCTGTATCTATCGATGATTTCTGTGTTGTTTACTAGGATTTCTCTGGCGATGGTTTGGTTATGGGAAGAGATTATATGTTCCTTAATGGAGCCCTGTTGCTTATGCATCGTTAAACGCCTAGAAAGAGATGTTGTTGTCTTGCCTATATACTGGGTTTTTTGGAGCTTACAGTCCCCAAGTGGGCATTTGAAGGCATAGACGACGTTAGTCTCTTTTAAAGCGTTCTGTTTTGTGTCTGGAGAGTTTCTCATGAGTAGGCTGGCCGTTTTTCTGGTTTTATAGTAAATCGTCAGTTGTATCCTCTGATTTTTGTCTGTAGGGATAACGTTTCTATTAACAATATCTTTCAGGACCCTTTCCTCCGTTTTATGAGCTGTGGAAAAGAAGTTCCTGTAAAATAGTCTAATAGGGGGTATAGGTGTTGTGTTAGTTGTCTCTTCAGAGGTTGCATGGCTTTTCACTTTCCTTCTTATGATGTCTTCGATGAAACCATTGGAGAAGCCGTTATTGACTAGGACCTGCCTTACCCTACAGAGTTCTTCGTCGACTTGCTTCCATTCTGAGCTGTGGCTGAGAGCACGGTCGACGTATGCGTTAACAACACTCCTCTTGTACCTGTCAGGGCAGTCGCTGTTGGCATTTAGGCACATTCCTATGTTTGTTTCCTTAGTGTAGACTGCAGTGTGGAAACCTCCGCCCTTTTCCATGACTGTTACATCTAGAAAAGGCAGCTTCCCATCCTTTTCCGTCTCGTAAGTGAAACGCAGCACGGAACTCTGCTCAAATGCCTCCTTCAGCTCCTGCAGATGTCTGACATCAGGTACCTGTGTAAAAATGTCGTCAACATACCTGCAGTATATGGCCGGTTTCAAGTTCATGTCGACTAAGACTTTTTGCTCGATGGTACCCATGTAGAAGTTTGCAAACAGGACACCTAGGGGAGAACCCATGGCGACCCCATCTACTTGCTTATACATGTGCCCATCCGGGCTCAAGAAGGGTGCCTCTTTAGTACAAGCTTGGAGTAGTTTCCTCAGAATACTTTCTGGCATGTCAAGAGGAGTACAGGCTGGATCACGATACACTCTGTCGGCTATCATTCCGATTGTCTCGTCCACAGGTACGTTGGTAAACAGCGATTCTACGTCCAACGAGGCTCTTATCCCTGTGGCCCGTGTGCCCCGCAGTAAGTCCACAAATTCCTTTGGAGACTTCAGGCTGAAGGCGCAAGGAACATAAGGAGTCAGCAGGCCGTTGAGTCGCTTCGCCAGTCTGTACGTGGGTGTGGGTATCTGGCTAATGATTGGCCGAAGTGGGTTTCCAGGCTTGTGCGTCTTGACATTTCCATACGCATATCCAGGTTTATATTCCCCAATGATCTTTGGCAGGTGGAGTCCGGATTTCTTGGCGTTCACAGTTTCGATCAGTTTGTTGACCTTTGCTTTTAATTCGGCTGTAGTGTCCTTCGTTACCCTTTGGAACTTAGTTTGGTCAGAGAGTATGATGTTCATTTTCGCCAGATATTCGTCTTTTTTAAGAATGACATATTGGCGACTTGTCACCTCTCCTGACAACTATCTCCTTGTTCTCACGAAGGCTTTTAGCTGCCGCTTTAAGCTCGGGGGACAGTATGGTGCTTCTGTAGTTGCCTCGATTCTTTCCTCCTTCTGCAATAAGTTCTGCTTGTAAGGTAGTAGATCTTTTGTGTTGTCGAATATGGTGACAACTCTACTTTCCGGGCCATTATATGTCATTCTTAAAAAAGACGAATATCTGGCGAAAATGAACATCATACTCTCTGACCAAACTAAGTTCCAAAGGGTAACGAAGGACACTACAGCCGAATTAAAAGCAAAGGTCAACAAACTGATCGAAACTGTGAACGCCAAGAAATCCGGACTCCACCTGCCAAAGATCATTGGGGAATATAAACCTGGATATGCGTATGGAAATGTCAAGACGCACAAGCCTGGAAACCCACTTCGGCCAATCATTAGCCAGATACCCACACCCACGTACAGACTGGCGAAGCGACTCAACGGCCTGCTGACTCCTTATGTTCCTTGCGCCTTCAGCCTGAAGTCTCCAAAGGAATTTGTGGACTTACTGCGGGGCACACGGGCCACAGGGATAAGAGCCTCGTTGGACGTAGAATCGCTGTTTACCAACGTACCTGTGGACGAGACAATCGGAATGATAGCCGACAGAGTGTATCGTGATCCAGCCTGTACTCCTCTTGACATGCCAGAAAGTATTCTGAGGAAACTACTCCAAGCTTGTACTAAAGAGGCACCCTTCTTGAGCCCGGATGGGCACATGTATAAGCAAGTAGATGGGGTCGCCATGGGTTCTCCCCTAGGTGTCCTGTTTGCAAACTTCTACATGGGTACCATCGAGCAAAAAGTCTTAGTCGACATGAACTTGAAACCGGCCATATACTGCAGGTATGTTGACGACATTTTTACACAGGTACCTGATGTCAGACATCTGCAGGAGCTGAAGGAGGCATTTGAGCAGAGTTCCGTGCTGCGTTTCACTTACGAGACGGAAAAGGATGGGAAG